TGCAGTGATTGTGCTAGCTGGCATGTGTGCTATATCTATTTCAAATGGTCTTAATATTGGAGCTGTTATTTCAGAGATATCTTTTATATATGGTGGGATGAATTTTCTTGTGTTCTTTGATGTTGGCTTGTTGTTGGTCTGATGGCTTGAGTTCAAACCCTTTTTGAGGAAATTGTGAGGATATCTATTCTTTTTGAAAACGGTTAGTAGGTATTTTTCCTCTATTCTCTTCAACACAGGAGTAGTGCTACAGTGTGTTTGAACTCTATTAAACAATATTTGCACATAGTTTATTTTGTGAGTAATCGGGTTATTACCACTATAGTTGAGTGTGCTGTCTGTGTGCATTGATTTTCTGTATATCTGTGTTCCTAATTTTCCTGTGTCATCCAAAAATGGGATTTTGTTGTCTAATTCTTATTCTCTTGTGAATTTAATGTCTCGAAATATGTTGCTTATTAAATTGTGGGTATATTCCGAAACATTTCGTTTAATTATTACAAATTTATCATCAACATAACGTACCCATATTTCCGGTTTAACTATGGGTAGGGCTATTAATTCTTATCTTTCCACCATAATGGCTTCAGCTATTAACCGTGATCTGTTTTGCTTTTCCGACGCTGGATGGCTCTGATACCCTTATCCTTTACACTAAAATGGTGACTTGCTTCAAATTTCTCCCGCTGATGATGAATGGTGATTGTCATTGTTGTTGATGGTTAGGTATCTTCATCGCCTCTGTATTCCAGTGAGGTCATAGAGATAAGTAATTTGAAATAAGAGCAATTTACTTTCATTTGTCAGAGAAATCAACTTTTATCGAAACAGCAAGATATTTATTTCATATTTTAGCCATAATCTTTCAAGTTGCCATCAGTCCTAGAGGAGAATACTCTGTTATCATCAAATTTGCCAGAAATGATATCTTCATAGTGTGTTAGGCACAAACAGATCACCTAGTGGAACCCAAATGGGAAACAATGAGTTGTGCTTCCAAGGATGACGTAAAAGACATTGTATGAGGAGAAGATGAAAGCCTATGGGAATAGTGGAGCTATCTAGAGAGGATTACAGAGAATAGGATGAAATGGAAATGTGCTGTCGAAGCCCACTGGGAACACAAAGGAGTAACAGTAATGATCAAATAGCAGGTCGATAAGTGGTAATTAAAACTGATAAATTTATCTGAAGTTTGATGAATATTCATATTAAATAGTCAGTCTGTATCTCATCCCATTGTGAAGTATGAATCAGTGTTGTCTTATTGAGAATGCGACTTTGAATCCACTGAGAGAAAATGAGCTTCTTCATTGTTCCAGTCCCACATTTTAAATGAGTTTTAGGAAGAATGAAGTACAGCTGACACTTAGCTCCTGTAGTCTTGTATGTTTACTCCATGTCAGGGAGTAGCAGACCAGAGTGAAATAGGTGTCCAGTACTCCCTGTTTTTCAGTGGTTCTCTAACTTATATCAATTCATGATCTAACTTGAACTCAATTAGATTTTAGCAAACCAACGCTTGAGAATTAATCCGTTGCTCAATACTGACTGGATACAGAACGACGTTGCCTGGAGACCTAGTAAGGAGTTGTGACCAATGGTGGTCGAGCTAAATATTGAGAATTAGTAGAAATTAGAATTAATGGACCACTGGATTCAATCCCAGTGTCTGAATAGTCACCACAGTCGCTATGTAAACTGCTGGTCGTGGGGTCAATTGCTGGTAGAGTGGTGGAAACGCGATGCAGAAGATTTACAATCCAGAACGAAACAGCTCCCCAATAATCTCTGGCTTTCAGTACTCATGTAAGTGATGTCAGTCCGTGATCTGACTTGAAACGTTATGTTAATAAGGTAGCAGAAGACAGAAAGAATAAAGAAAGTATTAGTCTTGTCAAATCACCTGGAATTCAATAGTTTAAAAACTAATTTCCTTTAGCTCCAAACTGATACGCTAACAACTTTTGCAGTATTGTACTTAATACGTTTCAACCGGAGGCGTTATTATGATGCAACATACAAATACGAGTACTGTTGGAACAGTTCATAACGAAAGCATTCAGTTTGATTCACTATATCCCATGGAATCCTTCTAATGATCTTTGCATATAGCTCAGGCAATTGGTATTCGACCAATTATGCCTAAACCATGCATTCATGAGAAGTTCCTACAACCACATTGCTTCCCTTTGCAAACTAAGGTCTCAAGAGTGATAACGAACTGACTTTAGTTAGAAAACAATTGAAAACCTAGGAAATACCGGACATCTGTTGCATCATTGGTTTCTTCCCAGCAGCTGATCGGTCAACGAGTTAGCATTTCAACCTAAACGGCCTAGGTTAAAACCCTGTAGGAGTTGTGGGTAGGTATGACTGAAAGGTTCCAAACAAATACGAAACAAATACTCAGAACTCCCTGGATCTTTTTAATAGTTCCCTGAAGAAAAGCAGTTAGTGATCATTCCTAAAATTAGTCAAATCCCTGCTAAGCAACACTTTAGGATTAAGACTGATTCAAGCAACTTTACCACTGCTACTGTGGCGTGTGCTACTGACGAAATTTATCAGTAGTATGTATAAAGAGGTATTCATCAGCTCATAAAAATATCAAATAGCAGAGATATAGATCTGACGTCAGCAGGAGGAAATGAATCAGTGTTGTGAAGATACATGGAATACACGAAAAGAAGACAAATAAACACAATAAGAAGGGCAGAATTAGCACAACGCCGAAGATCTGTGCAAATGACGATTTTCAGAAATACCAAATTCCAAATCAACATTCTGTTACCAAGTCTCTAGTTTTCTACAGTTGCATGACCTCCACCTCTTATATACTTTGTATCCTCATCTTGACAACTCTTCTTTAGTCTTTTTTTATTCCTGAGTGGGATATAGAGCTTCAAGCTTGAGCTCTGAATTTTCAGTGGTAGGGGGGGTTCTAACAGCATGGAGTTGCTGGCTTCATGCCCAACCTCTTCCATCTTTGTCCGGCTTATAAGTGACTAAGAGAGGTCAAAATGTTTACCGGCCGAGAATCTTTAGTCTTCTTCTTCTTCTTAAGTCTTATTGCACGGTTACTGAAACTTAGTTTTGAGTACTACATAATCTGACTAACTGTTTCCCTTAACCCTAATCTATTACATCTATCTCAATCCTTGTTAACACAAATCCTGGGTGACACAAGTTCGAATCTCATAAGGGATATAAGTTCTTTCAAGACAGAAGATACGCCTTGCCAATGAGTGCCAACTTGCACGAAACCTGGGTCGTAGGCTTCCTGCCCATTGCCTCCAACCACCTAATTGCTAATTCAGAAGACAGGCAATGGATGTGTTTCTCAGCATTATTATTATTCCCTTGATTTCCGATTGGAACATTGGGCTTCAACAGCAAATCTCCACTTTGTCCTGTTTTCTGCCGTCCTCTTCAGCTGGGTCCACAACTGCCCATAATCTCTCATCTCCTCCTCTCACCGTTGCCTACAAATCACCCTCGCACCGACGACCCACTCGTCTCTTCCCATTGGGATTCCACTAGAGCAATGACCTGCATTGCGCACGATTTCATTCGATAGTCTCCTCAACATATACCCATTTTCGTCTAAATATTTGTTGAGTGATCGGCTCTTGTCTGGTTTCTTCCCAACCAGAGTTTCTTGTTAGTTATTCTTTCTGTCTGGTCATTTGGTCTTCAGTATGGAGCCAGCCAGCGAAGGTGGCAGTTGTTGATAAAAGTCTGTAGCTTGTTGGAATTCCTTTCCATAAGACCCAGTGCGAGTTTCTGCCTCGTATAGAAGAATTGACTGACTTGACATTTGTGTTGAAAATGCGAATCTTGTTCTTTATGCTGAATGAGTGAAGAAGATTTCCAAACTGGTTTCACATTGTCGAATGTCTCATTATGACGGAAGTCAAATATCACGACGAACTTATTCTACATTCTGTAAACTTCGAGAGACCGACCTAAGCTGACGAGAGACGTTTCCTCCGACAATCAGACTGAATATTTTTCCTACCAAATATATGTGTAAAACTTAGACACTTTGACAGTATGTAATTCCATATTTATGTATATATTGGATATATCACACAGCGAATCAGTATTATTATTTAATTCGAAACTTCACCTATATAGTTTTCTTCCTTTCCATTTTTCGTAGAGTGGGGTAGAAGTTTTCAGTTACCCGGAACAGGTGTTGAATCATTCCTATTACACATATTCTCAAGTGATCCGATAAACTCCACTCTGTTACAGTTGATTTTAAGACCTCTACTTTGCTCCATCTTATTGTATGGTTGCTTATAAATGTATGCTGTATTATAGCTGAGCTTTTTTTCTAAATTTCTTATCTTATTAAGGTCTACCGGTCTAGAGTTTGCCAAGGCAATGTACTCTACTAATCTATAACTGACCTCAGCATACTACCTTGACCTTATAATCACTGTAAGTTATTAGATAAATTAAATAATTTTGTTTAACAAGCCCCACAGTATCGTTTAAATCACATAATTTGTTTCTATGTGGTTGAGTGTACTGCTCTGAATACCTCTTTTATTCCTAACTTATTAGGAATTTTTTTACAGAGACTTTTGAAAGTCTCTTCTTTGTTGTTCAAAACGTCTTCTTTTCTTTTTCCCAGTAGGATGTATTATGTAATCCACTTGTTATTCTGTCGGATGGTGACTAGCACTGGGATCTAACATGTGCACTTCGGCCTATTTGGAACTCATCAACTGGACGTACCTGTGATCCTCTATGAGTGATGCCATCTCTTCCCACTGAGACTCGAACCTAACATCCATCATTCTGGAGTACACCTCAAATGAATATTCTCTCGGATTTTACTTAGAAAAGAGCTACCAGTAATTGGATTCATTGATAATCGATGAACGAATGAATCTTTCATCATAGGGCTGACACACAAACGTATATACATTCATACAGACTTTACCAAACTGACCCAAATTCAACAGATTCAAGCAGAAGGCAACAAATTATTTCTATACATGTTAAACTGTAATATTCACCAAAATATTAAACAGATATGTGTATATCTATATATAAGCTATTCTCAAACACTGAGGAAATCTGATCGATAAAATACAAAAAAAGACGAAAAATAAGAAAATATTGAAGAATAATAACAACAACAAATAAAAGACTGTTACATCAACGAAAACTGCAATAAACAAAAGAACGACTTAATGTTAAAAGGGAGAATATCACACGCATACGTCGACACACATACAGACAAAAACACACAGAAAGACAGTGAATAGCTGAATGAGAAGGTAGGTAGTCGTGGGGGTGGTGGTGCTGAAAGGAGAATGAGAACGACAGAGAGAAAAGACGCGACAGAAAAACAGGGAGGGATAAGTGTTTGAAACATATTTTTATTTGATGACGTCATCTACTCACTGCCTCTGTCTTTCTCTGTGTCGCCAGCCAGCCAGCCAGCCCGCTCGCTAACTCACTCACTCACTCACTTTTTCTCGCCTAGCAGCCATCCATACAAGCCATATTCAGTATAGTGATGTAATACATTATCAAATGTAATAATATGAAAGGGAAAACGACATTGTAATACTTCTTCAAGTGTTTGCATGTATGTAAGTGTGTGGGCGGTGGGTGTGTGTGTTTGTGTCTGCGCAATACTACGTGCGTGTTATCTCATTAAATAAAATCCATTATACATATACTGTTTCGATAGGAATAAAAAGGCGATCTATGCTAGCAGCTAGACACATGTAGTGATGACACAATGAGCAGTGACGTAAGAAGACAATACTGATGTGAACTGATGAGAAATTTTAAAAAAATTAAATAAAAACAGATCAATACACACGCACACGCACACGCACACGCATAGAGTATAACATAGTTCTTTTGTTCATCTGTAGAAAACCGCGTTTATTTGTTCGCCTGTACTTCTAAATAAAATAGTTGAACATTGAGCAGTATCTGGTTTCTTATTGTCTGTCTCATGAGGATACTGTTGATGACGATGGATGTTGTTGTACTGCTTGATACAGTAGTACAGCGTTGAATTTTAAATGAAAGTATATAAAATTCTTCTCTTTATGCGATACATAACTATATTGAGAGGGGAAAAAATAGAAGAAAAATGTGAACGAAAAATTATAAGTGTTAAGTATAATGTGCATATGTCAGTAATAGCGATTATTATTTTTTAATTCAATTTTAGATTTTCCCGTCGATTGAGCCACATGGTGGGAACATCATCACTCACTGCGTAATGCAGGTACATGTAGATGACGAGTCTCAAATAGGAAGAAATTCGCATACTGGATTCCACTGCTAGTCACCGTCTACCAATTAACTTTTGTTATTATTATAACTGTTACTATCACGCAGTCCTGAGACTGTGAAGGAATAGTTAAAGCTTGAAATAAACTCTAAGGGGAAATGGATTTCCGCCACACTTAACAGACGAGGAAACACAGTCAAAACCTAATCGAAATGTGATTGAATGTCTTTATTCAAGAATTCAAAGGTGACTTAACTGCTGATACTCTTCATTGAAGGGTCTCATAATCCTTGAAAAGGAAATTCGTTACAGCATCGTTGGGAAGAGGCATACTGTCCAGTAACCTAAGGAACACACACTTATCAATTGTGCTAATCTTGTGGAGTTAGTTATATAGGTCATTCTATGAGGGTTTCATCCACGAGAGCACAAGAACACTACGCGGTGTGGTTACGAAGATGTGGTAGTGGGTCATCCTACAGAGTCTTCCTTTAAAGTTATCTACAGAGCGAACAACAACTTGCCCAAATCATTACGTATCTAACTCATTTGTAATAATGAAGTCTAGTAAGCAGTAAGCCCGGTAATAAAGTGAAAGCATCACTGCAACAGAAACTTCAAGACCCAAAACGTTGAAGCTCTATTTTACACTCATTAGAATGTAAAGAAATGAAAAAATTCAGCAAGTTACATACAGTTCGAGTGAAGAATTTGTCACAGTTTTTTTTCAAGATACCCAAACCAGCCTCAAACAAACGAAACAGCCATCCGGTATTTAGATCAATTTGATCTGGCTGGCAAACACACTAGTCAAGTATTGGTTTGTATGGATTTGATTTATTAGTTACAGGATTTCATTATAAGATGCTCACTGGAGATTGGCCCTATTCAGGTAGGCAGTTACCTGCGTTTCTAGTGGGAAGTTGTGACCAGTAGGGTGCAGCAGTTCCGGTGTAGGAACAAATATTCGCAGAAGACATTGGCTAGCGGTCGCGCTATGCCGTGAGTTGGTAGACGTTAAAATTCATGGGCTGACCATTGGATCAGGTCCCCATAGCCTAATGGTCTACGAGCTCGCTAGCCTTGTAACCAGAAGGTCCTGGTTTCGAACCCCACTTGGCGCATGCTACTGAAGAGTCCCAAACAAGGACGAAACAGCTGGTTTTTCAATGGTTCTGTAACCAATGTCAGCTCATGATGAAATCATGTAACCAAACACACTATTGTTTGATGTGAGTAGCTTGCAACTAATTTTATCAATCACCAGTACGTAACATCATGCTATTTTTACTTGACGTCTTGTCTACCTTTGACGGTATCAATATTTTGACCTAGTGGAATTCACTTAAGCAGTTGGAATAGCCCATTTTCCTCTACTTCTGCTTTGTTTCATCATATCATCACCATTTGTATTTGGTGGCTAGAAGTATAGTGAATGGAAACTGTCTTAATAATCTCCACCTTAAAAGGAGTTACATAATCTCATACAAATCACTACTGTGTATACCTCCTCTAATTAGAAAATATTCCATGTTAAGCCAAAGCTTGTAAACTAACAATTCTCCAGAGTTAATGTAATCGCCATTTGGTGAATGTTGTTCCTATATATATTCATTAGAATAATTTTACAGTTTATTATCCTTAAAAACACGAAAAATAAACAGTTCAAAAGATTAGAGATGCAAGTGATTCCTTGGCTTCACCACTTAACATGTCGATTTTGAATTCTGAAGCATCCACTGCTTCAGTTTGACCAATTAGGTCAACATACTATTAGCCGTCACATATACACACACACTCAGAAAGTGAATATGGTTCATTGAACCAGCACATGAAAAATCAGCGCTGTACACCCCTGTTCATCGACTTCAAAATGGCCTTCACCAGACACCGTTGACCGAGAAGTAATTTGGAAACTACTTCAACACTACTGCATGCAGTGTTCAAGTCTTTATCAACCTCATTCAACAGCTGGCTACATGACAGTGGCAAGTGTCAAGTGATCCACAACGTAAAACTTAGTGAAGCGTTCGAAGTACATACAGGAGTAAGAGAGGGCTGGCTGCCTATTATCACCGATGATATTCTTAATCGTAGTCGACTGAATTGTGCATCAGACTGTGCACTGGGAGTGAGAAGACAGGAATACGTTGGACCAACCAGAAGACTCTAGAAGATCTGGATTTCGCAGATGTTATATATGTCTAATGTCACACAAACTCGAAGATTTGCAGGCGAAAACCAACCAACAAATTGACTGAAGAGGGAGGCAGTGAAAACAGGACTGCAGGTGAACAAAGAGAAGATAGAGGTGATGAAGATAACCAACCAAGAGTAACAAGCAGCAGCACTAATCACTGCCAACTGAAGAGATTTGATAGAGGTTACTTCCCCTACTTATCAAGGAAGCACGGTCTCAATTACAGTCACTTCGGAACGGACGGAGATGTCAAAGCCAGCCAGAATCGGGAAGGCAAGATACACCTTCATCAGACTGAAACCAGTTTAGAAATATTCTGCACTCAGTCAGCATAAAGAATAAGATTCGGGATTTCAACTAAAATGTGAAGTCAGTCAGTCATCTCTTCTATACGGGTCAGAAACTTGGCCAGTGTGTCAAGAATAGGATTTCCAACAGGTGGCTGCAGACTTTTATCAACATCTGCCACCTTCGCTGGCTCCACACTGAAGATCAAATGGCCAGCCAGGCAGAAAGAATAAGTAATAAGAAACTCTGGTTGGGAAGAAACCCACCAAGAGCCGATCGCTCAACAGTTATGCAGAGGATGGACTGGGCATACGTTAAGGAAGCCGTCGGATGAAATCGCGTGCCATACCATAGCTCAAGTGAAACCCCAGTGGGAAGGGACGAGTGGGTCGTCGGTGCGAGGGTAACATGGAAGCGATTGTGAGAGGAGGAGATGAGAGAGTTTGTTCAATCATGGACGCATCTGAAGAGGACGACAAAACACAGAATAGAGTGGAGATGTGTTGTTGAAGCCCTATGTTTCACTCGGAACCCAAGAGAATAATAATACATTCAGCTAAATTCTAACTAATCAGTCCTAGAAACTATCAGAATGGCAAAGAGTATAAACCTATTTCTCTTGTAAGGTAAGCATAATTCAGTCTAGTGTAAATCTGTAAATATATGTCCAACGATAATACTAGTCCGAAAAATTCATTCAGTAGAAGCAATCAGTGTTCAATGTTCACGTTGAAGCGCAATTTTCAAACACAAGTAAACTTCTCTCCAATACGCATTATTTTTTTAATGTCCTGAAAACAACTACCATAAATTCTATTGTTAACTATACTATCAAGAAAAAAGTTTTTAAAAAACCTCCCAGCTCTTAACTATAAAATAGTGTATCTGTTTTTATCTAATTTCAATAAGTATTTGTTAACTAATTTATTCAACATTTAATATCAATTGAAAATGACCCTAAAAAGCAAATAGATACAACCTTCAAACAAGAAATTATATTTGTGCATATATATATAGAAGTACGTGAATTCCAATTTTATTTGAAAGCACCTGGATGCACTCAACACACAATATACCACTGCTTTTGATGTATTAATTATCGTATCATATGATTAGGCGTTATTTTGACTCACTCCACAATTTGAAATTCAATCAATCAACTAATCAATCAATCAGTCATTCAGACAATTAATTATTCATTTCTTATTCATCATTAGAAGAAGAATTTGAACAATGAGAGGTATATTTACTAGGTAGGTAGGTAGTGCTAACTGGAGAATTAATAAAACAACAGAAAGTGTAATCATACAAAGGCTGATTTTTTTTCATTGCGAATGTACTAAGAAATAATTAATAATAATGTGAAAACTAGTTGATTCTAAGAAGTAAGTAGGCAATCTTTACTGCTTCAAATTTCAATCATTCATATATGCACACACATACAAACAAACACACACATAACGTCGATATTTTCGTCTTTTTCATTCCTATGAGTTCCAAATGGAATAGAGGATTTCAGTAGGAAATCTTCATTAATACTCTGTTCTCTACAGCCGCGTTTAGTTACCTCTACAATTGCTCACAAGCTTCAGTTTCCTCCTCCCTGGATACCAGATTCATCGTCTCTTGTCTGGGATCTACTAGAGGGCTTGTCTAGCTTGAGATATCAATCTATAGTCGCCTGAGCATGTGTCAAATCCATGCCAGCATTTCCTTTGGCATATTTGTTAGGCGATGGAATCTTGGTTGGTTCACTGTAATGCAGAGTTCCTTATAGCTTGTCCTTTCTGGCTGGCCATCTTGGTCTTCATTATGGAGCACAGATGAGTGCTAATGGAAAGCTTGCAGCCTTTTGGAAACACTCTTCATGACACCTTAAATCACTGAACCAAAGAGAAAAACTGATTAACATTACTGTTGAAAATGTGAATCTCGTCCTTCATGCTTGCCGCAGTAGATTTTCAGATTGATTTCATAACAGGGAAGGTCTGCTCTGGCTTGCTTTGATATCCTTATCCATACCTCAGCCTATAGTTGAAATGGTGCTGCCTAGAGAAGCGAAAAAAGATGAACTCCTTCAAATTTCTCCTGTTTACAGTGATCTGTGCTTCTTATCCTTGGATAAATATCTTGATCCTTTGTTCACCTGAAGTTCTGTCTTCACTACCTACCTCTCTTTTGTTATATTGTTAGTTCTCGCCAGTATTTATCTTCAAATTTGCGCCACATTAGACATAAGTCAGACAGACTTATTTAAATTATCCTATTCATATGACTGGTTATACAACCTAATATAATACCAGTAATGTGAATCTAATGAGCGTTATTCGCGTTTGC